CGACATTGTGTATTAGTTTGAATAGTTTGATCAAGCTTATTTTTATTTTAAACAATATGATGTGAATTATCTATCTTACTAATCCTCGTATCATGAAAAAGTTTTTGTTGTTTAATTAATTAGATAATTTCGAACTTCTAAAGAAAATGCTTGTACACTTCTAATATGAGATCTTATTACTGCGGCAGAACCAGATATACCGGATGAAAAGCTTACCAAATAGATAGCACTGGAAGTTCACAAGTTGTAAAGGCCAAGTGCATCCATCTCTAAGCTAGCCAATCAAATGATAAAAAAAATAGGCGATCATTGGCCAATCAAGTGGATACTTAACTATGCCCTTTTAAGTATCGATATCGATGTCCAAGTTCATTTTCTATCGTAAAAACAAATGGTATATATGGTTTTGGTCAGACTTATTACTTTATTACTTTAAATTATTAAAAAAAATTTTTTTTTTATCTGTTATAAAGGACGGTCGCTTTAATCACGCTCATAGGAGGAGTACCAAACATCTAGACTTTATTGATAAATGGGACAACGATAAATTGCCTGACGATGGTTTAGTATCATTCCGCGTATACTCGATGAAAAAAAAGTTGTTGATCATTATTATTTATTTATCTCGAGGACTTTCTTTCACTGAGTATATTACAAAAATTCGTCTTTTTAAACCCATATCGTTTATAAACCTTTTTTTTGTATTGAATTCGTAGAAATCGCTGTTCCACTTAAACATCAGCCATCATTTTCTGAAGAAAACGAAAATTGTGAGATTTGGCGTTTTTTCATTCACCATAATTTATATATTTATTTACTAAACTAATTTTTGAATTACTAGTCGACCTAGTTCCCGAACAGTTAAAACCAGGTGCAAACAATAAATGGAAAGACCTCGCACTAGATTTCTTCAGGGACGAATGTAAAGATGCAAATGGCAAGCTCTCACCACACAATTAAAATATTGCGGATATATTGTTAAGTATATTGTAATCCTTATGTGAGATCTTTTATAGCTTGGTTACGAGTGATCTTATTAACGACGACACAGAAAATTATAATTCTGTATAATAAAGTATATATATATTATATATATTAACTAATAATCAAATATTAATTAAATATATAAATTTTTGATTTTAATCTTTTAATATATTTTTTATTATTATGTTGTATATAGTAAAAAAACAGAATTAGCATGTATAGTATATATAACCACTCAGTGATGACGACATTTTTTAAATTTTTGAGCCTATCCTATATCGTTATATATCGATATATTTTATTAATATGAAAATGCGATATTGTATCACATTTATGTATAGCAGTTACATTAGTAAGAATATCTAGGTTATTATTCGAATATCAATATGAGCTTTCACTTTTAAATTTATATCTAGAAAAAATATGGTGTCGTTCAAAAATAATTGCTTTATAAAGGTGTACCGATCGTAATTCTTTATTGATGATATGTATTTTTGAACTATATCTCAGTTTTTAGCATGATACTTATAGTCTTTCCAGGTTTAAGGTGTTCTC